ATGCATTTGAACAGAAGCACAAATATTTCAAGATTATGTATTTTTTAATTATATACATATGTGAAATTCTCAAACAATAATGAATAAATGTCAAAATGCTTTAAAATTTTGTAATTAGAGGTACAGAGAAGTCTAAACTTATATTTCTGCTAGAAATATTTTTTCAGTAATCACTACATCAATTATCAGTTTAAACTTCATGAAAAATTTGCATAGCATGACTACCATAGATATTGATAACTGCTGCATGAAACATTTACCCAGTTCCTTTTCTGAATAGGAAGCATAAGAAACTGAGATATTTCAAGGCCAGTGTTGAGAATATCATCTTTTCATAGATAAAAATGTGTATGTCCTACAATAGGAATAAAGGAACCTGAATTCTAGATTCACCACTGTTACTGATTTGCTGTGAACTTGGCCCCAGCTGAATCAATTCAGCTGGTAGAACACTGATCCTGAAAATCCTTTCCAGCTTAGGGATGGATTTAGCACCATCCCAGCTCTTCTAATCTCTTGACTGTTTCTAGAAAAAATATTGAAGCTCTATTAGAGTGAGATAAAAACAAAACAAGACTTCTTAGACGTTATTTTCCTGTCTTTATTATTATGTCTATCTCTTTGTATTTAATTAGGTTTAAGTATTATAGGATACATATCTGTATCAAAAGGTCATATGGCACCCTATAAATAAGAAAAATTTTGATTTTTTTGAAAGTTTCATACATACATAATAAATTCTGGCCACACTCTTTGTCCTACTCCGTCTTATGCCCTTCCACCCTGACTAAGTCCACTATCTCCACGCTCCCCTCCCCCCCCCGCGTCACCTTCTACTAAGTAAAAAGCCTACATGTAGCTAGTGTCCCTACCCTCAAGAGGGATATTATGGGATAGGGAGGGAGCGGTGTAGGGACTGGTGGATTCCTGAAATTTATTGGCCAGCCATCCTAGTTTAATTCATGAGTTTCAGTTCAGTAAGAGAAGCAAGAAAATGTGTCTCAAAAATAAAAGTAGAAAGCTGTTAAGAAAAGACACTAATGTAGACTGCGAGCCTTCACATATATATGTACACACTTACATGTGCACCTACCTACATACCTGCACATATCTACACTAAAAAGTATATACATAAGATACCACACAACATAAGCACAGCAACAACAAAAATGATGTTATTAATAAGACCTGTGCATGTTGGCACACATCCCAGCACTGGGGAGGCTAAGGTGG